TAAAGGCTTTTCCCCAGTATGAATTTTGTAATGTTCAGAAAGATTTGACACCCAGTTAAAGGCTTTGCCACAGTCTTCACATTTGTAAGGTTTGTGGCCAGAATGAATTCTCTGATGCTGACTAAGACTTGATTTCACCTTAAAGGCTTTCTTCCACTCTTCACATTTGTAAGGTTTCTCACCTTTATGAACTCTCTGATGTCAGGAAAGGCGACACAAATATAGAAAGGCTTTACCACAGTCTGGACACATGTAAGGCTTTTCTCCAGTATGACTTCTTAGAGGTCAAGTCAGCTGTGAATGCCAATAAAAGCCTTTACCACGCTCTTCACATTTATGCCATTTCTTTCTCTGATGTTCATTAAGTTTGGAGCAGCATGTGTTATCTTTGCCATAATCTTTACAATTGTAAGGTTTCTGACCAATTGTCTGATATTGGAGAAGTTTTGAGGACTCCTCAATAGGATCCTGTGTAGATTTTTCATCTTCCTTTCTAATTCTCTGATGTTGAGAATGATTTGACACAAAGTTTATTTTTTTTTGTTTATAGACATTTTTTTAATTAATAATAAATTTTATTTTTATATTCCCCATACAATTTCAACCCCCTCATTCTGACCCCAATCCCTCCCCTCCTGCCCCCCACCCCCCAAAAAGTGTCTCTGGTTCATAGTTTTTTGTTGATTTTGATTTTCACTTTCTTACAATTATTCATTTTCCTGGTCCCTTATTTAAGTTTTCTAGATTCCTGCTATGAGTGAGACCATCCGGTATTTTTCTTTTTCTTTCTGGCTTATTTCGCTGAGCATGATCCCTTCCAGCGCCATCCATGTTGCTGCAAATTGCATGTGACACAAAGTTTAAACCTACCCCATGGTGACAATGTTTTGAATAATCATTTCCATTATGGACTAGGGGACTTCCCATGTGTTCCAATATTCCTCTCTGAGAATGTGTATTGGTAAAAATGTCACATGCATCTTTGCTAACAGAAACATATTTATCTCTACATGCAACACACATAAAATGGAGATTTACCCAACATGTTTTACACACTGGATCAGTTTTTGCACGAGAAATTTTACTATGGATAATTGTTGCTGCTCGACCATCTTCATCGCAACAACTGTTGTGCACTTCACATGCCTCTTGACATGTCTGATCTTTCAATAATTCTAAATTCTCAAAGGTGTTGATTCCATCTCCTCCCGATCCCACATTTAGGAATAAATCTGTGCCTGACTGTGGTATGCAGTCCTGGTCGTCTTGAGAAGACATGGCTGGGAGACAGCAAGGAATAATTACCGCACTCACAGCACTCAAGACAAAATAAAATATTTTAACTTTTATACATAAAATTAATACCAAATAAAGACCCCCGGCCTGATGCTAGACAGGTTAACATGAGCACTAGACAGCAACACACATGCTTATAAAAGGTAATGTCTTCAGGGAAAGGTAAATACATAGCAAATAGAGAAGAAAGTATGATATAATCCTATAGCAAAAATACTGTTTCTGCCTGAGAACTTAGAAAGATGGCACCAAAAGAGTCATAAAACTATGTTACAGAATACAAATGTATTGAGACATAATTTCTGATGTCCGTAGGGGTAGAAATGTTAAACAGTTGAGTTTTGGTATGCAGTTGAATGTATTTGTTTTCAGTTTAGATAAGGCTGAATAACTTTTCAACATGGTATATAATACCCATTGTGACAAAAAAGATACCAGTAAAATACATGGAAAAGGAAATGAAAAGAGAATGATGTCATGTGTAACAAGTTGGGTGACAATGCTTTACACGTTTGTAAATAAGATTACAAACCAGGGACCTCCCCGGTGGCGCAGCGGTTGAGCGCTGGGTTGCGAAGCTGCCCGCAGCCTCTGCGGCGCCAGTTCGATCCCCGGCTGCTCCCCGGCCACCAGAGGAGGGTCCCACATGGCGCGCAGACCTCTCTTGCCGCCCGCTGCTCCCCTTAGCGGTGTGCTTCGGTCCTTCTGCCTGCTCTGCTCCCTGTTCTGGCTCTGGTGAATTCTCTCACCCTCCCACGCTTCTGACTGTACCCAGTGCATGTATAAACAAAACAAACAAACAAGCAAATAAATAAATAAATAAATAATAAATTAAAAAAAAAAAAGATTACAAACCAGTATACCTCAATTAGCATATAAAATGTGAGCAATTAGAGGGAAATCACCCACAAGAAAAGGAGAGGAATAATACAGAGATGCACTAGGAAATGAGGAGGAAATGAGGTATAAAATGGCTGAGAATGATTAGGGAATCAAAAAATGATTAGGGAATCATTTTTTAATAAAGTCAATGCCTTCCTTTCAGAAATACTTTGTGTGTAAATTAATTAAAAGTCCACATGAAGGGCCTCCCTGGTGGTGCAGCGGTTGAGTGCTGGGTTGCGAAGCTGCCCGCTGCCTCTGCAGCACCGGTTCGATCCCCGGCTGCTCCCCGGCCACCGGAGGAGGATCCCACATGGCACGCAGACCTCTCCTGCCGCCCTCTGCTCCCCTCAGCAGTGTACCTCGGTCCCTCTGCCTGCTCTGCTCCCCACTCTGGCTCTGGTGAATTCTCTCACCCTCCCGGGCTTCTGACTGGACCCAGTGCTTGTATAAATAAATAAATAAATTCTAAAAAAAAAAAAAAATCCACATGAAAATGACAAATGTGTCTGAAGGAATTAAAAATAAGACCAATTCAATTTTACCTATATGAAACTCAACACAGACATCAGCGCACCATGTAGAATGTAAGGTTGGAACTAGATTCTATGAAAACTGATCCATTGAGTGACATTGATCACACTAATATCAGAATTATATGATCTGAGTTTAAAGCCTCACAGGATGAAAAGAATGCCCCAAGAACATAACAGAAAACTACATGTATTGGGAAGCACTGTAATATAACATATGCACTAACATGAGGACCTGAATGTGTGCAGCACACGAAAACAGAACTGAATGCAGAAGAGGAAAACATAAAATCAAGGAGGGAGTTCAAGCCCCAATTGCAACTGGAAGGAAAATAATGGTATAAATTCAGGAACCAGAGTTGACAAACAGGGGTGAAAAATAATTCTAAAGGTGTGGTAGATACACAGAGTGGAATACTACTGAAAAAGGATACATCTGGCCATTTGCAACAACAAGGATGGAATGATGGGGGAGGATGATGCTCAGTGAAATGAATCAGAAGGAGAAAGACTTACTGGATGAATTCACTCCTGTTTGGAATTTGGAGAAACAAAGCAAAGAAACTGACAATACAAACCAAAATGAACTCGAGAATTAAGACTGCAGAAGTGAGGGTACTGAAGAGGTAGAGACACTGGTTGTGGGTACAAAAGTGGGAGGGGATTCAAAGATCTATGGTGAGGCCCATGAGTGCACTGGTGGTGGGTGTGGTGGTGCCAGACATCTGAGGTGATGAGAATCTATTCCCGAATCACATAGAGCAAGGTAAACTTGTGTTTCCTTGATTCTAAAAAATTAAGAAATACTGAGACATTGAAACAAAGCAAACTTCCAAAACATGTGGGATTCAGAAAATAATACCAAGAAGTAAATTTAAAGCATTAAACAATTATACTATCAATAAGTGGGATCTCACCTAAGCAATGAACTTCACACCTCCAGGAATTAGAAAAAGATTAATTTAAGTTCCATACTGGCAGAAAGGAGGACATTTAAAATGAAATAAAAAATACATACATGTAACATCAAGGCCAAAAAGCAGGTGCTTCCTTCTGAAAGGAAGTCTGGATTTTGAAAGATCAACAAAATGGACAAAACCTAAGTTCAATTCAGTAAGAAGGAAAGGCAGAGGACTCAGAGTCTGAGAGGAGATGCCCCCAGGGAGAGCAACACTAAGACTCCAGGACAAAATAGGAGCATGTCTGCAACCCCTGAAACAGAGCTCCCCAGACATTTAGGATGCTTTCCTGGTGACCACTGTATCTCTCAGCTGTGTCCTCTGCTCGATTCATTCCACCCACCAGGGAGGAGGATGGGATCTGCACGTCTCTTCACATCCCAGGGCTCCATCTTTTGCTCCAACAAGACGACCAGGTCAGGCTTAGACATAGCAAGACCTGCTTATTAGGACAGGGGATATGAGATGGCCTGAAGACTCTCAAATTCCCAATACAGACTGTGCTCAGTAGAGCGGAGAGTACAGAAGGTTCTAGAAAAGGATCACTGCAAATACTTTTTCTGACACCACCTTTACCAGAAATCATTTAAATTTTCATATCCTGGGCCTCCCTGGTGTTGCAAGGGGTTAAGGAGCATCCTGTGAAAGCTGTATGCGGCCTCTGTAGCAAGAGCTCAATCCCCAGCCAGCCAGGGAGTGGCCTACATGGCGAGGTGGACCTCTCCTTACTCGACCGCTGCTCCCCTCAGCAGTGTGCTTCGGTTGATCTGCCTGTTCTGTTCCTGCTCTGTCTCTGGTGAGTCATTTCACCCCCCACACCTCTGGCCTATACCCCAGCTCTTGTATGCATAAATAAATAAACCTTTAAAGAAATAAATTTTCATATCCTGAGAACCATTTCCAGACATCTGAGTCATAGGAATGTGCAATAACACACTGATTTTAGGTTGTAATAAGGAACTGAATTTCTTGAATGAGCACTAATAGAGAGTGCAGGCTGCAGATCACCTAAGAGAGGAGAAGTTTAAGTCATGATCAAACAGCACGAGACTTTCTTTCCAACAAATTCACACTGTTTTTCTTAAAAGCAGGGATGTAAATGTAGCCTACAAATCCGGACATCCCAGGAGCACACCCACACATAGCACAGGAAACAGTGAGGGCAGATGAGGAAATCTGGAGGGATATTCTCCTCACCCAAGGACGCCAGGTCCCTGTAGGTCTCTAACATCATGTACCGGTAAAATTCCCACTGTGCTGGGTCCAGGCAGTCCTGCTCCTCCTGCTAGAATTCTATGGCCACATCTCTGAAGATCAAGGGTTTCTGAAATCAAAATATACAGTTACCATGTGGCCACCAGCGGAGCTCTGAATAGGGTATGAGGTGAAAAGAGAGTTTTGAGGGTCCCCTCATGGTGGCACAAAGGGTTCAGTCTCAGTACTATGAAGCTATGACAACCACTGAAGGATGAGTTGGATCCCTGACCAGGGATCTGACTCACATGGCGCAGCAGACCTCTCCTGTCTCCCCGCTGCTCCCCTCAGCAGTGTACTTCAGTAGATCTGCCTGTTCTGCTCCCCACTCTTATCTCTGATGAATCATCTCATCCCGCACCCAATGCCCTGACCTCTGGTTTATATATAAATAAATAAAATAAATCTTAAAAAAGGGAGACCTGGTTCTAAGAGAGAAGAATGCCCTTATGAGTGAGACCCATGTTTACACAATAACAGTCTAATGCACCCACTGAGCCCAGAAGATCACATACGCCCACGGAACCACCGTGGATGCCATAATTTCAGTGATGTCCAATCGTCCCCAGGGCACATATTTGTACAGCAAGGAGGCAGGACAATTGTAAAATTCATAGTAGACTGACCTGAAAGACTGGAAGGAAATTGTAGATAATGATCAAATACTAAGCAGAACAACAACAACAAGAAAACAATCATATTTGAACCCTTGGTGTCCATTATATATGTTGAACTATGTTATCATTTTTTACAATTGAATACACGATAAAATTTTTTGTTTATTTCTCTGGAAGTATAAACAAGTTATGAAGAGAATGTGTATGAAAAGACTGGCATTTCCATTGACATTCACACCAAAGAGAATGAAATAGCTGTGATTATTTCATTCAAGTTGAAGAAGGAGGGGCCTCTCTAGTGGCACAAGGGGTTAAGAGGCAGCACTATGAAGCTATCTGCAGCCACTGCAGCATGAGTTTGATCCCCGGCCAGAGAGGTGACCCACATGGCGCAGCAGACCTCTCCTGTCTCGCCCGCTGCTCCCCTCAGCAGTATATTTCAGTCAGTCTGCCTGTTCCGCTCCCTACTCTGTCTCTGGAGAATCCTCTCACACAACCCCCTCTGCCATACCTCTGGCCTGCAGCCCAGCTCTTGTATACATAAATAAATAAATCTTAAAAAAAAAGTTAAAGAAGGAGGTGAAGGACCTGAACACTGAAAATTATAAAACTCTAGTAAAGGAAATAAAAAATACAAAGAAATAGAAAGATGTCCTGCGCTCCTAGGTGGGAAGAATTAACATCATAAATGGCTTTATTGTCCAGAGCAATTTACAAATTTAATGCAATACCTATCCACACACCAAGGAGGTTTTTTTGTAAGGAAAGAGAACAATCACTGCATTTACATGAACCCACAGAAGGTCCCAAAGAGCAAAAAAAAAAACTTGGGAGAAAAAGTGAAAGGTAACTATCATACTTCCTGACTTCAAAATATATTAAATGCCAATGGTAATGAAAACATTATTTTACTGAAACAAAACCAGAACTCAGAGCAATGGAAGGCAATTAAAAACCCAGAGAGCAAATAATACGAAGAGTTCCTCTTGGACAAAGGAGCTAAAATCATACAATTCAGACAAGACAGCCTCTTTAATAAATAATACTGGGATGGGGCCCCCTGGCGGCCTAGGGGTTAAGAGTCAGTGCTATATAGCATGGCCATTCCAGGCCAGAGAGCTGACCCACATGTGGCATAGCAGACCTCACCTGTCTCCCACATCGCTTCCCTCAGCAGTGCATTGCAGTGGATCTATCTGTTCTGCTCCTTACTTTCTTTCTGGTGAACCCTCTCAACCCCGGAACATCTGGTCTACACCCCAGTTCTTCCATGCATAAATATATCTTCCCAAAAAATGGTGTCGGGAAATACGCATAGTGACTTGCAAAACTAAGAAGCAAGATCCATTCAAAACTCCATACAGAAAACTGATTCCAAATGGCTGAAACGTTTGGACATAAGAGCCCAAAGCGTGAAGTACTGAAAGCAAATAAGGGGTACACTATAGGACAGCTGCTACAAAATGTATTAAGGAACACAACCCCAACACCAAGGGAAAGAAAAGCAAAATTCAACACGTGGGACAACACCAAACCTAAAAGCTTTTGGAACTCAAAAGAAACCAGCACAGAAACAGAAAGGCACCCTATAGAATACAAAAAATATTTGCATGTCACACATCTGACAAGTTCATTCCAAAATTTATAATGTATCCGGGCCTCCCTTGTGGCGCAAGGGGTTAAGACACAATGCTAAGAGGCTATTCCCAGTCACTGCAGCATGAGTTTGAGCCCCGTCCAGGGAGCTGACCCACATGGTGCAGCAGACCTCTCCTGTCTCACTCGCGGCTCCCCTCAGCAGTGTATTTCAGTACATATGCCTGTTCTGCTCCCTACTCTGTCTCTGGTGAATGCTCTCACTCCTGCATCTCTGTCTTGCACCCAAGCTCTTGTACGCATCAATAAATAAATCTTTAAATAACAACAAAAAATAAAAATAAATTAAAAAAACCCAAAATTTATAAGAAGTTCCCACCCAATCCAAGATACCAACCAATGAGTCAATTAAAAATGGGCAAAGCGGGCCTCCCCTGGTGGCGCAGGTGGTTGAGCATTGTGCTGTGAGGCTGTCCGCAGGCTTTGCAGCACCGGTTCGATTCCGGCGAGCTGGCAAGGGTCCACATGGCGCAGCAGACCTCTCCTGTCGTGCCCACTGCTCCCCTCAGCAGTGTACTTCGTCACTCTGCCTGTTCTGTTTCCCGCTCTGTCTCTGGTGAATCCTCTCACCCTCCCATGCATCTGGCCTGTACCCCGGTTCTTCTATAAATAAATAATCTTTAAAAAAAAAGGGGGGGGCAAAGGAACTAAATAAACATTTTGCTAAAGAGGAAATTCTGAGGTCCAACAGACATAGGAATGTTCACCTTAATTTACTGTACGTGAAATGTCAATTAAAACCACACTGAGATGCCACGTCACCCCTTGACAATGGCCCAAATAAAAAAAGTGAAATTAACAACGCTGGAGAGGGTGCAGAGAAAAGTGGGCTCTCACCCACAGCTGGTGGCCATTAGAGCAGTACAGTCCCTGTGGATAACGGTGCAGAGATTTCTTAAAGAAATAAAAATAGAAATTCCATATGACCAGCAATACTTCTCTAAGTTATTTACCCCAATGTGCAAAACTCATTACAAAAAGATTCATCTACCCCTAAGAGCAGAGCAGCACTGTTCCCAACTGCCCAGCTAAGCTAAAGAAAACAAATCACTCACCAGAGATTTATCCATTGTCCACTGCTCTCAAAGATGCCAGAGGACTCTGGAGGCGGCGCTGGGAGAGGTGATGGAATCCTGCAGGAGAGGACTGAGGCAGCTGGTCCCGGGTCCTGGAGTCTCCTGTCCAGAGCGCTCCACACACTGCCTGGGAGAGACCAGAGTCACTGCGCGTGACAGCTGTGCTTACACTCTGAGAAGGAGCAGGAAAGGACCCATAAGTCCATTATTAATACTATTTGGGTTTACCATTTACCGCAAGTTAATAAAACCGATGATTCCTAAGACTGACTAGTAGTTCATGTGAAGAACTAAACAAAAGTTTCAAAGATGATTAATCACTTAAAAAGGGCTTTCCCTGGGCCTCCCTGGTGGTGCAGGGGTTGAGCACTGGGCTGCGAAGCTGCCCGCGGCCTCTGCAGTGCCAGTTCGATCCCCGGCCGTCAGCGAGGGTCCCACATGGCCCGCAGACCTCTCCAGCCTCCCGCTGCTCCCCTCAGCAGTGTATTTCAGTCAGTCTGCCTGTTCTGTTCCCAGCTCTGTCTCTGGTGAATCCTCTCACCCTCCCGTGCATCTGGCCTGTACCCAGGTTCTTCTACGCATGAATAAATAAATATCTTTAAAAAATCCCTTAAAAAAATTGGTCAGAATTTCAAAGGAAATGATGCACCTTGTCCACTTCTTTGGCAGGACACTCCCAGGAATGTTCCAGAGCCCGGCTTCCCCGGATTCATGTCCTCGTACACCCCGGTGCCCATGCCCTGGATGTGCCTGGGGTGTCCCCCCAAGGGAACGAGGGCGCACAAGCACGGGAGGAAAAGCTCTTTCCCAGGGGTCTGGCCTCCGGGACACCGTCCTCCTGGGGAGACCCGGGGTACCGGCCAGGCACGCGGCGGGGCGGCGGCCACGATAAACGGGCACAAAGGACGGGAAACTCTTACCCGCCGGCCCGGTCAGGGCCCGGGACCCCCGCAGCCACGCCGAGAGGGACGCGAGACCCCGGAACGCAGCCCCGTCCGCGTCCAGGCGGGAAACGGCCGCGCGTGCCCCAGGGTGAGCTCGGGGTCCCCGCGGAGAAAACGCCCGGGGACCCGTGGAAGCCACACCCCGGGGCGGGCGCTCGTGACGGGGGGTTCCGCATCCCACGACAGCCGTCCCAGGGCGTCACAGCGCACGGAACTCCCGGAAACGCGGAGGGGCGGCCGTCGGGGGCTCGCCCGTGTCCAGGGCGGGGACCCCGCTCCCCTCGCCCCCGAGCCTCGGCCCGGCGGACCCTCCCGGCGCCTGTTCCGGGCCACGGGCCCCCCTCACCCGCCTCAGGCCTCCCCCGGCGCCTCCCCGCAGCGCCCGCCCCCCGCTCCCGCACGCGGGTCCTCAGCCTCACCCCAAGCCCAGCCTCGGCGACAAGGCCGCTCGCAACCCGCGGGGGGTGGGGGGGCAGCGACCGCGGAGGCCCCGGGCCCCGGGAAAGACGGGGAGGACGCGGGGCCGCGCCTGCGCAGACGAGGCCGGCGAGGCCGGACGCCCCTGGGCGGAGCCCAGGGCGGGAACCGCGTGTCCTCGGGAGACTACATTTCCCACAATCCCGCGCGCCGCGCGTCCGGGAGCGTCAGGGCGGGTCCTCCCCCAGTGGGGCTCAGGGACATATTGGGTGGCGGGGCCACGTGGGCGCAGCCTCGCAGACCGCCCGGCGCGCCGGAACCGAGCCTGTTTGGCGAGGAAAAGGAGGAGAGTGTTTTGATGCCAGAGAAGTGGGTTCCTCTTACTCTGCTCTCTCCCTGCGCTTGGGGAGCTGCACCCCCAGGAGGGTGTTTAGGGCACACTCCCTGGACAGCATCTTGAATAAACCCATGTAACGGCCTTTTCTTGTGTCGTAGCTTTCCCTTTCTGGGCACCAGTGAGAGATCAGCTTTGGAGGCTCCCAGATGGGACTCTGTACCCTCAGACCCCATTCTCTCCATGCACCGTGTTGTTAGGAGTTGGCGCCTCAACTCCGTCCGGGGTTCCCAAAAACTACACGGAGCCAGAGATGCAAAAGCAAAAAGGCTTAAGCTAGGGCCCGACTCTGCCTGGTGTACTGACACAGCAGTCTCATCAGGTTGAGAGAAGGACCCCTTTAAGGGTGACAAGTTGTTTTTTATACTCTGTTACAGCAGAAAAAAGGGGACCTTTCATATCAGAAAAAGGGGACCTTTCACAACGGGGACCAAGTTCAATCTGATTGTGTACCTTTCTTTGGCAGCCTTTAAGTTTCGTTCACCCTGGCCTCGTGGTTCTTGTGGTTTTACCCTGCAAAGGACAGCTGTGCTCTTTAAAACAGTCGTTTTCCTTAAAATGGCTGCTGTCTTGCTATGTTTAGTCCTTTAACATCTTACAGTGTGAGGGCTTAGAGCTGCTGGAGGCCTCCAGGCTGAGCCAGGGTCCTTCCACCTGTATCTTAAAAGGTCTGAGTTTGAGGGGCTCGCAGTCTCCTCATTTCTCGCTAAATGGGCTTTTAACGACATTTTCCATCCTGCCAGACAGATTTTAAGAGTTACCGCATCCTGACCAAAAACTAAGCAACTGCTGCGTGACCCACTACCAGCACTGCCTGCCTGTGACGGACATCAGGCCCAGAGACACACACTCTCTTCCCACACATTCTGTCATTCCTAAATAATGCCTCCTAATATATTTACATGTAGCGTTCAACATGTATCACAGCCATGAGAGTGTTCGTTTTACAGGCCATGAAAACGGACTGTTAAATAGGGTACAATTTTATAGGTCCTGATTGAGAATTGCCGTGGCATTGCTTCTCATTGTACATGTGACTAGTTAAAGTAGAAATTGTTAAGAGTCACAGTCAACAGAAGACCAGACAAGGAATGGAAATAGAGGAATTTATGACACAGAGATACTGATAAATGTCCACTCACACCTTGTGCAGCTATGTGGATGCAGCAGAGTTCAGAAGGAGAGAGCTGCAGGAAATGGGGCATGTGAATGTATTAGGCTACCTAACTGGAGTGCTTCAACTTTTCTGAACTGAGATTATATTATTTGAGGTAAACCTAAAACAGTAAGACTATTGCCCACTCTGTGGAGGTCCAGGGCCAATCATGGGGAGGGCCTGTGAGGGACTACCATTGCCAATATGTGCAAATGAGCTCATGTAAAGAAATTATATGTACTTGTGATTCTTCAGGGTGTGATTGAGGCAATGTAGCAAGATCCTCTATGAGGGTACCATGGAGTGTTGGACGAAAGTTCTTGACAATACTTCTACATAATTATCAATATACACATTACAACGTCCACTGTTACTAAACAGACAAAAGTGTAGTTGTTGCAAAATACAATCAAAACTATTTGAGATTTGAGGCCTGTGTGAATGGAGCCTGACACTGTGTTGACAACCAGTTTATTGTTCCTATAGTTTACCGAATCCTTGAACAAGGAGGAATTGGTTAATGTTGATGAAGGATAATGTAATCAAGGTCTCCCTGGTAGCCTAGAAATTAAGTCTCACCCTTATTACTGCTAAGGCCTGAGTTTGATCCAGGCCAGGGAGCTGACCCACATGGCACAACAGACCTCTCCTTTCATGCCCGCTGCTCCTCTTCCCAGTGTATTTCATTTACTCTGCCTGTTCAGCTCCTAACTCTGTCGCTGATGAATCCTCTCACCAACGGCACCACTGGCCTACATTCTTGTTCTTCTATGCAAAAAAAAAAAATTACAAATAAAGTTATCAAATATACCTGAGGATATACACATAAAAATCAGTCGAGTTTATGGGCCTCCCTGGTGGCAGAAGGGTCAAAGTCTTAGTGGCATCAAGCTGTCACTAGACACAACAGCATGAGTTCGATCCCCAGGCAAGGAACGGACTCACATGGTGCAGCAGATCTCTCCTGTCTGGTCCGCTGCTCCCCTTCACAGTGCATTTCAGCAGATCTGCCTGTTCTTCTCCCTACTCTGTCTCTGGTGAATCTTCTCACCACCGCCCCAACCCAACCTCGGCTTCAACCTCTGATCTTGTATGCATAAATAATTTTTTTTAAAAATCAGCTTTATTAAAACATACTTATTTCAGCTACCAGTGTATGCTCTTTGGTCAAAATCAAGTTGCAAGCATTTAAGAAGCATTCTTGTTCTTCTGATTCCTGAATCCCATTGTTGGTGGTCAACACAGAGGCTCAATACTTAGCTAATGTGCACACACACAATTCTATGCTCTGTTTTTGGAAAGTCACCTGTTCTTTCATCATATTCCTGTGAAGATTTCTTTTGGAAATGTTAAATAATAGTCCTGATCCCTATTACTACCATGAAGATATATCAGGATTTTAATCAGCTGTCAACATATTTCCATAAGGAGAAATTGATGAAATGATTTGAACTCCAGCATGTTCCTATGTCTGACTTTTATGCCAACGATGAAGGCCATACTCGTCTTGGTGATTTAAATCAATATTATGGGTCAACTAGAAGCAGCACCTCCATTCAGATGTTCTTGATACATGGCACAGTACTGTCCTAAATTTACCTGCAAGATAGACATGAACAAATCCATTTACTAGGAGAATCTCTCAGATGTTTAAGGCAGCAAAAAAGCGAACGCATGACTTCACACACACAAGGGGAGAAAGCCAGAGAATGGAGTGAATTAGAGCTGAGTTACATTCATCACCTTTTCATAATATCCCAAGTGTGACTGATAAAAAGTACACAAAAATAATTATACCTCAACCATCATATTGAACATTTTCTACACTCTCGACATTCATAGGGTTTGGCTCCAGTGTGAGTATCTGATGTACAATGAGGTGTGATTTCCTGTACAATGTTTTCTTACACTTTAGATATTCATAGCGCTTCTCATGTTCCATGAGGGTTGATTTCCAGGAGAAAGTTTTCCTACACTCTTGACTATCATAGAGTTCGTGATTTCCGGTAGAATGTTTTCTTACACTTTGGACTTTCATAGTGTTTTTCTGGTGCATGAGTTGTCTGATGAACACTCAGGCCTGACTTGTGACAGAATGATTTCTTACATCCTTTACATTTATAATGCTTCACGCCTGTGTGAATTTTTTTTAAGATGTATTTATTTATACAAGAACTGGGGTACATCCCAGCCGGGCGGGAGGGTGAAAGGATTCACCAGAGAGAACAAAACCAGGGAGCAGAACAGGCAGATGGACTGGAAACATTGCTGAGGGGAGTAGGAGGAGAGACAGGAAAGGTCTGCCTGCACTGCAGGGTAAATGGTTTTTCAGGCTTTTCTGCCCTCCCACAATTAGGATTGCCCCTGCTTGAGGGGGCACCTATAGTGTTACATTATTGCAAACTATCTTATTTACTTCTGTGGGCCATGGGAGGAGTATTGAGAGAGTCACCAAGAGAAGCAGAAGCAGAAAAGCAGGAGAAGAGGCAGGAGAGAGAAGAGTAGAAAGGAAGTCAGAGAAGCCCAGACTTGCTGGGAGCTTGGAGGCCTTCTGGCCTCCTGGCCCCCAGGGAACCTCTGCCTGCCATGTACCTGTTTGCCACACTACATGAGAAAGCTCAATAAAAGCCTGAGAAAGCCACCGAGGGCTCCAGGACTCTCCTTTACCCGTCTGCTGGATCAGAAAACCTGCTCAGTGCCCATCCTGCCCCTACAGGCACCATGTAGGTATCTCCCTGGCCCGCCCAGAAGCGAACCGGCACTACAGAGGCTGCAGACACCTTCACAGCACTGTGCTCAACCTGCTGCACCACCAGGGAGGCCCCCTTATGAGTTTTGATGTACACTGAGGTCTGTCTTCCAGGAGAAAGGTTTCCCACTTTCTTTATAGCCAAAGAACCTTGTAGTGACACTTCCCTGATACCTTTTGTGTAAGGAAATATCAGATGTTTCAGAAGGTTTATCACCTCTTTGTATTTTCTCATGCTCAGTAAAAAGACATTTCAGACAACATTTCACCACATGTATTATATTAAAAAATATTCTGTTCTAACAGAGTTCTCTCAAGCTGACTGGCATGAAATTGAAGCTGAGTTTACCCCCACTTTCATTACATGTATGCTGTTCATCTTCAAAATGTTGATGAGTCAAATGTACTGGTTTCTCATCAATACATTTCCTCCTTTTGTTACATGTACAGGGAGTCTCCCCTATTTGAGTTTTATCTTAACCAATGAAAGGTACCATATCATAGGTATGCTCACATTCACTGTATTTCCAGGCAGTCTGTCCCATAAGAGCACCTCGATGTGTAAAGAATATTGCGTCTTTGTCGAAGGCTTTCCCTTGTTCAGGTAAGTGAAAAGGGTGCTGAAAAGGTGGGATCATCTGATGACTACGGTGCTCAGGATACCTTACAGTTTCCCTAGTCATACTAAAGCCCTCAAGTTTCTTTGTAGCACGCATCTCATGAGGCTCAGCAGGGATAAACATGTTCTTACATACAGCAAAATTCTCAGGCATCGATGCTGAAATGT